TTTCCCCCTTCACGCCCCCCCCCGTAGCCAGTCCCCCAGGCTGGCTGTCGGTGCTGTAGCTCCTCGTCGCCTTTGGGTTTTATAAAAACCCGCTACCGCCTCAAGTCATGGTTCCTGTGCTACGTGGAGGGGCAAATATCCCTTCCTTAGCCTCTTGCTTCACCTCTCTGCTTCCTGGCTGAGCGGGCCGGCTCTAGTTTGTCTCCCCTCACACGGGAGCTGTTCCACCCCGTTCGTGTCCAGCGCCCTTTTCTGGACCGTTCCCGGGTCTGGAGCGTCTTTGGCGAGACGGGCGGCCAGGACTGCAAGCAGGAATTGAGGTGTAGGCACGCCATGGCTCTATCGACAGGCACCGTGGCCTTCTCTCTGCCTTTCCGGATGGGTCCCATCGGTCTGGCCCCTGGAGCAGGTGCTTGCAGAGAGCTGTCCACGAGGGCGTCCGATTTCTTCCGCAAGTGGCTGTGGTTAATTCCCACCCACGTGTTCAGTGCAGGTAAGACGGGATCGTGGTTTCCTGGATGAAGCTTTGAGCGCTGATCGACGTGTCGCCCAGGGAATGCCGGTTGCTCTGGCAACGGGCAGGTGACTGAGAGGGGGGGCATATGTTGTAGGGGGATGTTGCGTCTCTCCCCCCGTCCTGGTCCTCAGGGCTGGAGCCAGGGGCCTGGGACAGGAAGCGAGTTCACAAATCCCCGATCTGGGCGGTACTCCAGCTCAGAGCCTGCTGAGCAGAACACTTGCTGCAGCATCTGCGGATGCTGAGGAATTTCCCAGTGGTCTCTGCTTGAGTCTGAAGTGGACGTGGGGTGCCGAGTAACCCCTGACTCCCCGACCCTCCCGAAGTCTCGCTTTGGTCAGCCCACAAGCTTGCGGACTCGCAGCCACGCTCCGTGCCGGCCCCCTTGCTCCGCAGGGCAGAGACCTCAGCCGCCAGCCCCTCAAGTGCATTCCCTGGGGAGTAGGCAGACTGCCCACGTCAGAATAAACGAGCAATCCCGTGGCACGCTAGAGACTAGATCGACGCCGTCAGGCGCTTTCGTGGGCACAGCCCACTCCCTCAGACGAGTTGGAGGCTCAGGCCCTTCCCTCCCCTTGCCCCCCTCGGGCAAAAACGGTTAACGGGTTGGAACGGTTACCTGGTGAGTGCGTTTAACCCTTTTTCCATCCTGAGGAGGCGTGACGCTCGGCTCGTCCGACAGGCCTTGCGAGATGCTGCGTGCCCCCGTTGCTCGTAACTAGAGGGGGTCGCAATTGTTTCCCAGCCAAAATGACCTTGATTTGAAACTCAGAACGTCGGCAAGAAACTTTTAGGATTTTCCCCTGGTTTTCTGGATTTCTTCCAAAGCCAAAAATGTGGGGGGGTTGTTTTGTTCCTCTCTCCCCCTTTTCTCACTGAATGCAATTACATGGATTATCTCTGTGGGGTTTTTTCACTATTGCTTTTTGATAAACATTCTGACCCTTCTACACGTCCTAACATTGGAAAAACATTTGAGTGACCAAAGGAAAAACAAGCAAGTGAAGGGGAAAATCCCTAACCATGGTTCATTTTTTGCCCAGGCAACCTTAATCTGTCTAATCCCTAACTTCTGAGAGCTTGATTTTGCAGCCGTAATAGTGTTCTTTGAAGACCGATTCTGCGTCGCGTGTGCGCACATCAGGGGACGAGACGATTGTTAAAGGGGAAACTAACTCTGTCTGTTGGCCTGTCTAATGTCCCTTCACCCCACGGCCAATATGTAACACGGGCAGCAGCCCTCTGACTGGACCCGGAGTCCTAGGCGGCTCTGAAGCCGGTCCGAGCCATATCTGCTGTCTCCGCTGGAAGCAAAGGGCCTCTGCTTCTCTCCTGCGTCACTGTGGGGTGACGGGCGTGAGGTCGCTAGCGCAATGGTCTGCAGTGCAGTCGGCCTGCGAGAGCGCCAGGGATTAAATCTTGAGGGAACAGTCTGAAGCGTCCTGGTGGTGCTCTAATGGGCACGTAGCGAAGTGGCGCGCCGGGACTGCAGGAGAGCTGGCAGCCAGCCCACAGGGCACCGCGTCCCCCGGCCGAAGGGGATTCAGCACCGCGGGGAGGAACGCTTTCCGGAGGGCGGGGCTGGGTGGGGATCTGCAAGCATTAGCGAAGGAGCCGGCACAGCCTGCAAGCCAAGCTCACTGGGGTTGGCGGTTCTGTTTGCCGTGGGTCTTGGGCCTCCCCCCCGGCGGGGGCTGCCCGCCCCCCCACAGGGAA